TGCCTATAGTCCCAGCTACTCAGGAGGCTGAGGCAGGAGGATCGCTTGAGCCCAGGAGTTTAAGGTTGCAGTGAGCTAGGCTGACGCCACAGCACTCTAGCCCAATCAACAGAGTGAGACTCTGTCTAAAAAAAAAAGAAAAAGTAAATTTATTTTTCAAAGATACAATTAAGATCAAGTATAGAATCATTATTTCATGCTAGTTCATCTTTAAGTGACTGCTGGAAATAACAAAATTTAAAAATCAAAATTAATTAAGTTAGTCATGATGTAAGTACATCTAGAAACCATGGAACAATTTGAATTCCTTAGTTCATTTGGTCATTCATGTGTTAAAAGCATTTACATATTTCCTCTTATGTATCCTACGATGTTAAAAGGAATATGCTGAAGATGTTTGCCCTTGAGGAGTTTACCACTTTGTAGTGAAGAAGAATATGCAACCAAAACATTATAACCCAATGTAAGTAAATATAAGCATGAGAGTGGGAGTGCAGAGGAGTAAGTGATTGGCAGATATATTAGACTATCTTTTTTCTATGGAAAGCAAAAGCCATATTAATATATTCACTGGATTCCAGATTGAGCTGAGGAAATGAAATAATTTTAATTTGGCTCACATTTAAATTATAACTTTAAGGTTTGATGGTAATGGTTTCATCACCATGGAATGTTATAGGACATCTGATTAGATGAGTGTTATTTCTAGTAATTCCTACATGTTCTTATTGAGGTTTCCCCCAGTTCTTACCTGACTTCATTTAGCCTCTGGTGTTCTTGCCACCACACTTGCTTGTGTTGTTTCATTAGTATTTGTTCTTTAGATATCTTTGAAGTCTGCAACGCTTTTCTGATCTAGATTCAGAGGAACAAAAGAGAAGCAACTTCAAAGTTTGTAAAATATTTTCCAAAACAAATATGTTTAATCTGCATTTTCTAAGTTCAATACTTACTCCTTCTCAATCCTTATTAGTGTATCTTCTGACACAAAATCTACCTAAAATAAATACTATGTTAAAAAGCAGGGAGGGGCAAGAGAAAATGATTTGGAATACTGACTAATTTAAGAAATATTTTTAAAGTATTTATGAAAAGAAAGGTGAAGTCATTTTATTTTCCATACATACAATAAATAATACCTTAATTCATACAGCCCCAGAAATTTTTTCAAGAGTTTTCCATATATTTCTTCCCCTTTGGACACATCTTTCCTGCAAGGCATAAAGGGCATTTTTATTTCTAGTTTACAGATAAGGAAGCTGAATGTAAGAGACTTGGACAAGATCATAAAACTCAAAAACATCAGAATCACAAAGAACTTGTTTGGGTTGGTTTGGGTGTTTGGGTTGGTTTTTATCTGTTCCCTCAGCACAAGATGGGAAAGATTCATAGGGTAAGTTGTTGGAGGCCTGGCTTTAGTTTCAGCTTCAACACTTACTAAAAATATGACCTTGAACATACCATTTTAATCCTTCAACTCTATGACTTTGCAAATAAATTTTTTTAAAGATTTAAGCAAATATTTATTTGAAAGTACTTAAAGAAATAGTAAAAAAAAAACTTGTAGCGTTGAAATCCAAATTTTTGACTAAATTTAATTTTCCTCCAATTTTATGACTTTTTAATAATATAGTACATAATTAGTGCTTTTGGGTTTCTGTCGACAAGTTGTATCAGGCCTGAGTCTGTTTGTCTTAGGTTCTGTTTCTGGCTGTTCCCCTGATCTGCTCCATATCACAGAGCAGCCTGTGTTTCCCAGGTGCCCCTGTCTGCTGGCTTCAGCCAAAGGGAGACACTGGGATGGGAGACTGAAGGCAGGAAGGAAAGGAGAAGCCCAAAGATTACCGCCACCCGCCTTCTCTACTCTCATAGCATCTCCAGGAGCATCTGCATCCTGTCCATTGCGCCAACTCTTCTCTGCACAGTTAATTCCATTGTGGTTGCAGCTACGACGGGGAGCCTCACCCATGGGATGTGGTTCACGTCCCTCTGGCAGTGATTCTTGTGGTTGTTAATCTATGTGTTGCCTCACAGTCCTCTGTTTGCCTTTCCAGCTCTATTAAGTGCATAACCATGTCCCCACGTTAAAGACCCTTCTACTTTAAACTCTCCAGCAATGACAGTTTCCTGGTTAAACTCTGACTTACATTCATGTGTACTCTGAACTTGGGTATTCCATGCTAACATTTTTAAACTACAAAAGTGTATATCAGAGGCCGGGCGCAGTGGCTCACGCCTGTAATCCTAGCTCTCTGGGAGGCCGAGGCAGGTGGATCGCTCAAGGTCAGGAGTTCGAGACCAGCCTGAGCAAGAGCGAGACCCCATCTCCACTAAAAAACAGAAAGAAATGATCTGGACAACTAAAAATATATATATATAGAAAAAATTAGCCGGGCATGGTGGCGCATGCCTGTAGTCCCAGCTACTCGGGGGGCTGAGTCAGGAGGATCACTTGAGCCCAGGAGTTTGAGGTTGCTGTGAGCTAGGCTGACGCCACGGCACTCCAGCCTGGGCAACATAGTGAGACTCCGTCTCAAAAAAAAAATTTATTTTAAAATTATATCTGAACCAAACAAACAATACCCTAGTTTTTAAGTAGTCACATTAGTTTGAGGAGATATAGCTCATAGATATATGGTAACTGTAGAATAGAGTGTCAAATGTGCTGTGAAATCCTAAAAGTTGCCTTTTATGAAAAAATTAATAAAAAGCTATGCAAAACTAACATAATATTAAAATTTTAAAAAGATATGAAAACTTGTAAATTACTTAATATGTTGCTTCACCAAACCAGTTTTTTAATGCAGCCAAGTAATGAAAATGCTGTTTTTAATGAACTCTATTATTTGCACAAGAGAGAAATATACTACATGAGTAATTCTAAGCTATACTTGGTGCTAAAATACTGTGCACAGTAAACGTCTTCCAAATCTAGTCCAGGTTCACCTTTTCTTGGTTTGGGATTTATATTTGAGCAGAAAAATGCAATCCTAGAAAAGAGAACAACTGAGGGCATATTTATATAGTGTCAGAGAAGGAGTCTTAAATCAGAAAATAATCCATGGCTGGTACTCACTAGCAATATTTATTTTTCGGATTAAGTTGAAAATTGTTTGAAACTAATGAAATAACTATGTTTCCAAAACTAAAGTTGAATTCGGAGCTCAAAGAGTTGTTACGAACGTTAAATGAATAATGCATGTAAACTATTTAACAGTGCCTGAGAGCATTCAATAAATGTTAGCTGCTGTTCACTATTAATAGTTGAGAGATTTTAAAAACTATTTAGAATGTCATTTATTTTTGCATTTTCAACTTAAATACTTCCTAGGAATTCAATTTTCTAAAAATAGAAAAAATACACACAACTTCTAACCTTTAGCTCCGTACAGGCAGAAGCTAATTTTTGTGCTTCAGTTAATGCACGCAATTGTTGGTAGTCTACTGGTTTATACTTGGTGCTTCTCATCCCAGTTTTCATAAAGAACACCAGATGATCTACAATTCATAAAAATAGAAAAATGACAAAGAAAGAGTATCATGTTATTGGAAGTCAAAATATAGTTAGGGCAACATGTTAAATTCAGGGGTCTCATTTTTAAATGTTTTTAAGCAAATGCAAGAAATAATACAACATCCATAATATATTTGAACCTCTATTTCTAGAAACTCTTAGAATATGGTCACTATATTTCTTATATAACATTACTTCTAAAAAGGCATAGAGGGAACATTTTCATTTAAGTTAGTACTGTATATTGAAGATTTCAGAAAATTTTAATGCCAACATACAAAGTATGACTGTTGTCTAGCCATTCCTTTTATTTAAAATGTGTTAGGCATCAATTGTGCTTTGTAACTGTTAATTGCCCGCCAGCTTTAGCAATCTAGGGATAAACTCCAATGTGTAACTTCTACAGGGTCTCTGGTCAAAAATAGGCTGGTTTCTACTCACATCCACATCCTACCCATTAAGATTCTTCTTCCAAAATGCACATCCAACCTGTCCACTTCACTGCCTCTGCACTAGTCAAGCCACCATCACCTCCTGCCTGGATGACAGAAGTAGTTCTACTTTGTAACCCTATAATCTATTCTCCACACAGCAGCCCAGGTAACCTCTTAAAGACTCTAATCTGACCTTGCTTGAATCCCTTCAATGGTTTCCCATTACCCTTTAAAATAGTATTCAAACTCCTCGAAAGGCAGTGTGACCTTACCCTTCATCATTTCTCCACCCTCTTCTCATTTACACATTCCAACCACTCTGGTCTTTACATTTCTCAAATATACCATGTTCATTCTGCCTCAGAGCCTTCCTACTTGGTGCTTCCTGTGCCTTAATGACACTTTCTTCTTCTTTTTACCTGGCTGGTTTCTACCCAGCCTTCAGCTCCACCAAAGTGTCACCTCCTCAGAGAGACCTGACCAGACCTCTCCATCTAAGTAAGGGAGGACTCTTGTTTCTCTCTCATCCTATTCTTTTCTTTACCATGATAATTTTTGTCAGTCTTCACATATGCATGTTTACTGATTTGATGTCTGTCTCCTTCAATAGACATGTGTACCATATTTGTCTTATTTCTGTATCCCCAGAGCCTACACAGCATGGTAGGTGCTCAACAAATACTATTTGAGGAAATGAATAAAAGGTGGCTGGTGGTAGCTGGATTTCTTCCAGCTACTTAGAAGACCCACAATAACAATTCCTAAATCCATACTATAGCCTCCCTCTCCCTACCTTAATCTTTCAATGTCTTTTAATCTGCTTTAATAGTATAGCCTACAGACAAGGGTGGCAAATGTAAATACCCTTCAGGGCCTATCGGTTAGTTAAATGAGAGAAGTGGCACAGGCCAAGACCATAGGAAACAGCAGAAAATATGGAACACTGAAGAGCATTCCATGCCCAAAGATAATCAAATACACCTTTTTTCTTTTTATAACACAAGTACCAGACAAATAAAGCAAGTCTGCAAAAACAAATCTATGCTGGTAGCTCCAGCCTACTGCACGCATCTGTAGTTTTCATCTAATTCTCTCAGCCACAGTTTAACTGTTCAAGTTTACCATCTCTATCTAGTAGGAAACCTCAGCAGTCCTCTAACTGATCAGCTTTAGGCTTCGGTCAGTGGAGTGCCCAGTTCCTTTAGATTTGGGATTCAATTTTCTCGGCATGAAGATTCAAAGATTGAGGCTCTGAAACAAAATGGAGTTTTGCAGATTCTCTTGTGGCTACCTTGGTCTAACCCTATTTAATTTCTTCCTCCCGGTTTTCAAAAGAAAATCATGCAACCCACACAATGTTTCTTACCATGTCTATGTGATTCAAAATTTTAATTACAAATGTAAGAAATCTTACACTAGAAAACATTCTGGAAATCAAAGTTGTAGCCAGAAACTAATCTGTCTTCATGAACTTGAAACTTAGTTTGGTTCCAACTATACAGAAGGCCAAGTGGAAACACTTCTTGACCTACATACTTTAATCTTTATACGTAAATCACAAATAATGACTACTTACCTTTCAAGAATGTTGAGGGCCTCTGAACTAAGAAGTTACTAAGCTGAAATATCATAAAATTGATTTAATTGTAATTTCTGTATATCAGAGAATTGAATAGACATTCAGATTTAGAATCTGAAATGTTCACAAATAATTTACTTAGTTCAGCTTTTCATTTTAATATTTGAGATGATTGAGGCTCAGAAAAATGACCAAAATCATCAAGTCATTAGCAAAAGAACTTCAGTTTCAAAATCTCATATTATAATACAAAATATAATACATGTTTTAATTTTAAAAACCTGAAAATGAAGGTTTATTTCATAATCAATATGGTGGACAAGTCCAATCGGAGCTGAAATCATTTGGTGACAAACCTGACCCAAACTGAAGTTTATGCTGTTAATGTGAATCTCCGTCCATTTGTATAATACTAATCTATTTAATTACGGGTGTTTCCCCTCTAGGGTTTTAAATAATACAGGGCATATACCCTTTATCACATTTCTAAAAATCTCAAAAATTTTGAATACATCTGGCTCTACAATTTTCAGATGAGGGATTATGAAGCTATATTAAAACAAACATTTCCTGATTCCCACACAAGTATACATCATTCAGTCCATTTCAATTTTATGCTCCCTAGTGAGAAATTCAAAATGGCTCCTTCAGCCTGTGGTTAAAAATGCTTTTGGCCAAGTAACTGCTACTTGAACAGAATTTTTTATGTTAAATAATTTAAGAGCATTTAGTTTTAGAAATTATTTCATGTTCACATTATGTGACATTTTAGAAATATCTTA